TGGAAATGTGCAGTCGTGAGAATGAATTCAAAACCATCCTATTCGGTCTGTGCTATTTTCATGCAGTGATTTGTGAACGTCGAAAGTTCGGTCCGCAAGGCTGGAATCGTGTGTACCCATTCAACACTGGTGATTTGACAATCAGTGTGAATGTGCTGTACAACTATTTAGAAGCAAATAGTAAAGTACCCTGGGAGGATTTACGCTACCTGTTCGGGGATATCATGTACGGAGGACATATCACAGACGATTGGGACAGGCGGTTGTGTAAGACTTATCTTGAAGAATATTTGGTCCCGGAAATGTTAGACGGTGATCATTTCCTTGCACCTGGATTTCGTGTACCACAAAATACAGACTACAAAGGTTATCATCAGTACATTGATGATTGTTTGCCGGCCGAGTCCCCGTATCTGTACGGTTTGCATCCGAATGCCGAGATGGAATTCCTCACCAACGCGTCTGAGAAACTGTTCCGAACCGTGTTCGAAATGCAACCGCGAGACTCAGCCGGGTCAGGTAGTGGTGGAATAGGTCGAGATGAAAAGTTGCAAACCACACTGGATGAGATTGTGGAAAAATTGCCCGAAGAATTCAATATGCCGGAATTACAGGGTAAAGTTCCACCGGAGGAACGAACACCGTATGTGGTGGTCGCATTTCAAGAATGCGAGCGGATGAACATGCTAATCCGCGAGATGCGTCGTTCTCTGAAAGAGCTCACATTGGGTTTGAAAGGTGAATTGACCACCACACCGGAAATGGAAGCACTCTCGAACGCTCTCGTGTTGGACAGCATTCCAGAAGGTTGGGTCAAACGAGCCTATCCGAGTCTGTTCCCACTCGGTATCTGGTATGCAGATATGCTGGCTCGAGTGAAAGAACTGGATAATTGGACCAATGATTTCGCACTGCCGAACAGTGTGTGGCTCGGTGGATTGTTCAATCCGCAATCATTTTTGACCGCGATTATGCAACAAACCGCGCGTAAAAATGAATGGCCACTGGATCGTATGGTTCTACAGTGTGATGTAACAAAGAAATCTCGGGACGAGATGAGCTCTCCGCCCCGTGAAGGTGCTTACACACATGGGCTGTACATGGAAGGAGCTCGATGGGATGTGCAAACTGGGATGATTGCGGAGGCCAAATTGAAGGAGCTAGCACCGATCATGCCTGTCGTGTTTCTCAAAGCGATTCCTGTGGATCGACAAGATTTGCGTAACACCTATGCTTGTCCGGTGTACAAAACCAAACAACGCGGTCCGACCTATGTGTGGACATTTAATTTGAAAACCAAAGAGAAATCGGCTCGATGGGTTCTGGGCGGTGTGGCACTTCTATTGCAAGTCTGAGCACAAACGCACTCTATCGGTTGGACGGAACTAAGCCAATCAACCAACGGAGCAACTGTGATTACATAAAAAGAAACTAACAGTGTACATCCCTCGTGCATATGCATTTTTTACATGCGATTTACAATATTATTATTATTAGGTCTTGAAAGATACAACTTTTCCTTTTTGTGCATTTTGATCATGGTTACTGACAATTAATTGGGGGAATATTTAATTGGTTATTGTTGTGTCCCTGTTTAAGTAGGTAGATAAGCGCGCAGTCAATCATACAGCACATTTATTGTACCGGTACACACATGTAGCCTGTCCGCAAGCCGGTGTTGTATTGCTCAATTCACTGTGTACTTATCTACCTACTTAACCTGGTACACAACAGCCGGTGAGCAAGCAGAAACGGACAACACGTAGGAAGGCAGGCAAACGAGTAGACCAGCACTGGCCCAAGCGCCACACAACATCCGAATGCGGTCAAGCCGTTATTCAACCAGCCAACCAAGCAATCAGTGTGGGACAGACCAATACTACTATCTGATTGGCTGGAGCCGATCGACATTGTGGTAGAGTCAGTCCGCATGGCGTGAGTGCGTGCGTGTGTGCCAGCTGACAGCATCTGTCAATCAATCGGGCCACAGGCAAGCGCGACAACCGTACCGGTCACTTGTAGGCCACACCAGTGATGTTGTAATTTGTAGTGAGGAGCAGCTTTTAGACTTGGAATTCGGACCGGTTTGGGGATGAATTTTGATTGTGATATGTATTTTTGCGTCGGAAAACCACTTTTAAATACAGTGAAACCCCGCTAAGGTCGTCATCTTTCTGTTCTTATCAAGTGGTGGAAGAGGTGAAACTCATTTGAGAAAATCAGTGTACTATTTTTTTGTTGTACTATAATGTACTATAATGGATTAATCGACTCGCTAGCGTGGTTCGCAGTAGCTTCTTCTCCACTCACTGTGTCGCATGGCCTTCATCTGTCATGACAATCCATTGGAAGCATTGAAGCAAGTCTGGCACAGTTCAGCAACCAAGCTTAATTGCCTTTTCCACTGTTATTTAGACCGCAGGTAGAAATATTCGCGCGTGCGTGGTACTACCAGTGCCAAATCATGTCATCAGTTGGCCATGTGGTATTGCTGCCGACAAACCCTGGCGACTGCTGTCAATGTTGGTTCTCGTTATTCCAATGACCTAGGAATATTATTTGTAGATTTGTCTGTTTCTGAGTTCATAGTACGCAATAAGAAGACAGTGATTCACAACACTCAATTTCGTTCAGTTACGCGGCTTTCGATGCAACAGCGAATTCCGCATTTTCAGTCATCGCGAATGGGATGCACTGTATAGTATGTTTGAGAACGAGAGGACCATTCGACTTTAATCAAGTTGTTGGAAATTGTGCAAAGAAAAACAAAATAAGTTGACTGCATTGTAGCTTATGTGAACTGCAGCATGTGTCAATGTCTCGTGATCGAAATTTCCGAATCAATCAATCAATCAATGAGTTGCAAACACCAGGCACCTGATTATAATTTTTTATTGGATAACAGGCAAAAAATGAGTGAGCTCTACACTCAACAGAAGCTACCATATAGTGAAGGTGAGGTAACATTCATCTAAAACAATTTATTGATTATTCGCGTGAAAAAGGAGTAAAAAGGTTGTGGGAGAAAGGTGGAAACAGAACAAGCAAGAGTGTTCCACAATTTGAGGATTCTATTAAACAAGCAACGACTGGAACACCACTGTTAGATAAGCATTTAGAGTTACCGGGTAAATGTGTTGTGAAAACCCTGTAAATTGGGTCTCGCTAGCCCTTAACAATGGTGAAGGGACCAAATGATTTGAGCAAAATCCACGGTATTAACGGTCGCAATCGCACAATGGTGGGGCAAGTGGTTCAATAGTGGATATTAGGAATGCAATAGTGACAAAGTGGACAGTTTGACACTGGAAACCATCCAAAGTGTCAAAGAGGGAGAGGGGATTGTGCTATGACTATAAGGTCTCCACAGCGGGATGCATGTAAACCTAACCAATAGGCGAGCCTTTAAAAAAGGTGAAAAACTGTTTCTCTCGTGAACAAGGTAGGAATCGTCCTAGGCACTCGGTATACGAATTCAGCCGAATGAGAGAAACCAATATATGGAAGAGGTGAGTTGAAGATCGAGCAGAACTACAGAAAATGTTGAACAAGCCGAATAACAGTTGAATTGTAGATTAAGAGCTGGTGTGCTTAGTTTACAGGATACAAACATCAGAGTTTATTTGCCAAATTGAAAGCAACCCGATTTCTAGCACCCTATCAGCACTCAGGTTTGATTGGAGTGGAACAGAAGCAGATAATTATCGGGTGTGCTGGTGAGAGAAAAATCTCGGGAAGTATTTTATGGAAGAGAACAATCTATGATAGCACTGTCGGAAAAAATAAAGTGGATAGAATTAAACTCTCGGAGTTTAGTGTGCATTGATGAGAAAACGCAACTGGTTGGGCGATAGCACAAAACCTCGTGAGACGCCGGAGTTTACAGGAATTACACTCGAAAGAGGTCAATCAACGAGAAACCGAAATTGAACGGTCATAATTCCCTATTTGATTGATAAAGCACAGGGAGAGCCCAAATTTGACAAGTTTTGCCCCGAACCCTTTTTGTCAGCCTTGGACGAACGCGGTGCAGATGTCACGGGAGAGCAAATGCGATTCGCTGAATTGGTCAAGAATAGAAGACCAAGTGTGTGTGTGTATGTATGCCAGTGGATATGTGGCAGTGGAAACCGTGGTGGCGGGGGGCACTGAGACGCTCACGATGTTCTAAGTGAAGACGAAATTGTTTTGCAATCCAGGACCTTGAAAAGAAACAAGGTGAGGGAGATAGAACGGTAGTCGCTTGGATCACAACAAGAAGTGAACAGTTTTTTCAATAGTATGGAATCATGCCATCATGGAAAAGCGGTTGGGAGATAACGAAACGGGACCAGCTCGGGGTGGGGTGGGGTGGGGAAAGGTAGGTCTCGAGCAAAACTGGTGGGTTTCTTGGGTGCGCCTCATGAACACAACACTAAAAGGATATTCCCGGTTGTGATTTGACGACAAGTTGTATGAGCCTGATGACTAGTGGATAAAGGAAGAGGGGTGAATAGAAGTATGATGGAATAGGAGGCAGCTACGTTATCCTTTTGAGAGAGAGAGAGAGAAACAACAAGATCGTCGAAAGTGTTCTTTACTAGGGTAATTAGCGAAAGGCAAAAATTACGTGGAATTGCTTTCACAGGGGATCAGAATGAATATCTGCGTGCAAGACAGCTGACGAGTTTGTTCGCCTTACGATGGCCAAATTTGTCTCTGACCTTCCAAATGACAATAACTGTACTAATCGGGGACATGAATGAGGAAGATGACTGATTGTGATGGACTGTTCACAGTGACAAACGCTTCCGTCACGTGGTCAATGGTTGTGGTTCTCTCGTGGTGTGCTGCATTGTGTTGATTCCAGCCTGCGAGATGACGTGTGCCCTGGAGCGACGGGTTACAGTTTTGGGACAACTATAATCAATCAAGCTTCACGGGTGACCTCAGCAAAGCATGTGCGTGCCACAGGTTCTGGACTACATGCCATAGGTCGAGCGTACCAGCCAACGAGAATCCGTGCGGCCCAGACAGAAGCAGAACAACTCCAGAAATACTAGAACGCGATTGGCAGAAACCCAGATAACCAATGATCTTGTTTTGCACGTAACATTTAATCCCCTTTATTTCTTTCAATGAACAAACAACAACTCCTGTGGTCTCTTCCTCGCGTCTCCTTTATGTGGGATATTGCGTGCAAATGCCAGTGTGGTACCGTGCGTACATGACGTCCGTGATTGCTAATCCATGATTCGTGTATTTCGCGTTCACTGCGTACTACTACTATTACTACCACTCTTGTGAGATACTGCTCACTTGTGAGTAGTACGCAAAAAGATGCGATCAGAGGTTTCTTTCAACGACCAAAAACCAACAAGACCTGTTGAAGCAAACTGCTGATGTTCGGTATGGTGAATACAATAATGCGCATCTAATAGTGAATCGTATCCTCGACCAGCACCGTCTTTTGGAATTATAATTACTGATGCTATCACCAAGATCAGGATGAAGGTCCCACGGCCAGAAGCCTTAGAGGATGGAGACGCGCTGGCGTTCCTGGATTTTGAGGACATCGCGGAGCTGGCGAGAAGACGGTTGGATTGAGGTTAGTTGACGGCCCTCCGGAGCGCTTCTCAAGGGCCGGGCGCGGGTGGTGTTGGATGTGGTGCGAAGGGGCCCGGAGAAGATGAAGTGGACCGCCGCGAAGGATGCTCTGATCGCGGGTTTCGATACCCCGGCCAACCGCCAGAAGGTGTTGCGGAGCTTCCAGACGGTGCAGCTCTGAGTTGGGGCGGACCCTCTGTCCCACGCCGTGGTCCTGAGCGCCCTGTTGGATCGAGAGCTGCCAACTTTGAACGACGCTGCTCACTCCGAATTATTACTGGAGCGTTTCGTGGAGAGTCTTCCAGACAATCTGCTAGAAAAGACGCGAATTGTCCTAGCGGTGTGTCATGGATGAATTCACATTGGCTGAAGCCGTGAAGTTTTGGTTCTCCAAACTCACGAAGTCTCGGAAAGACAGCCATTGGAGGATGTTACGGAAGCCCTGAAAAGCTAACAGAAGAAGTAGCAACACTGAAATCAAACTACTGAGTAAGAAATAACAGAAATGTGTGCTTTCAAAGCGGTAGGCTGGGCCAGTGGCGGAGGAATTGCCCAGAAGGATACAAAAAACGTTCTCTCGAGAAACAATTTATGCAAAGCGCGCCCAGTTGGCGATACAGGGTCGGAAAGAGCTATGCCTAATCGACACCGGGGCGGCAATATCGTTGGCGAGACCCCAAGCAAAAGATCCCCTGGAACCATGGAATATAGCTGTAAAAACAGTCGGTGGTTACCAGTTGAAGATAGACAGAGTAGCCAAACGGAGGGTCCACGTTGAAAACAAGATAATCAAGCACCCATTTGTCATAACAAAAGACACGAGCCAGACTATAGTGGGAGCAGATATATTGCGCAATTTAAGGGCCGTGGTTGAACTGAACAACGAACAGCTTGTTACCAGATTTGGCACGATCCTGCTGTCACGCTCTAAAGGAAGATAGTTGTCAGCCGTGAGTACAGAAACAACTCGCACGAATGCATCACCGTCATTCCGGCCAGTGGTGCAACGATACTCCCACCTGTTCACAAGTGATGATGACCCGTACGGGTTCTGCAACTGAGTGGAACACGAAATTCCAATAAAGGCAGGAAAATTTCGAGCCCATGTTTCACGTCGAATTCCACTACATTTGATGGATAAAGTCAAGTGACAGATCGAACAAATGTTAAAGGAAGGAATCATCGAAGAAACTCGAAGTCCGTATAACTCGCCTGTGCTACTGGTGAAAAAGCCCAA